GAATCCTCAAGCGATATTCACCCTGCTTGAAACAGCTCTATGCCTAAACTTCCGAAACTTGCGTCGAGAGCAGACCCAAAACAGGCCAATCATACCTATCTCTTTCAATTTTGGCATGTTTCTCCTCCTTGCGAAGCTTTGGAATACGACACCATCTTAAAACAACCGTCACGATTCCCCCCCCCCCCGTCCATATGAAATCCTTACCCTCTGTAGAGGGAACAGCTTGAAGCTTGGAGTGCCTATTGCTCAGCCCAATTCTGGGCCCTTTACCATATCCATTTTCTCGGGCACTCTTGCGAAATATTGCTTCAAACACATTCCGTTTCTCTTTTTGTACGGCTCATAAAATTAAAATGATGTTCGGGTGACGCCGAGAAATGAGTAATGCGTTGAACGGGTCACAGTTGGGTCCCGAAGGGGACCTTTTTAAAAGAAGCTAAGATTCTTCTAGAATTTTCTTCACATCTGATAAATTAGTAGATAGTGACGTCATGTCTATGGGTGTTCATCGATCACTTCTCCCACTTTCAGATGCCGTTGAACAAAGGACGAAGGCCATTGTGATTGTGGGAATCATGTAGTAATTAGTTTTCATATTATTTTTCCATGTGTACTTATCTGTCCATTGGTATCGTTTGATCTCAAAACTCTGTGAGAATTTTGATTGCATATCAATCGCAGCTGTTTTTATATTGCGTCGTGAAATGAATCTGTGAAGTTGTTAGTCAAAAGTGGAAGCCGTCGGCGCCTTATCACGCCGTTGAATAAGGCGCCATTGCCACTGAAACACTACCTGCTGTCTCATTGGGCAGGACCCTATCCAGTTCAGTGTACGTAACTTGGAATGAGGTGCACTCCTTATCGTCTCCATAGGAATTATCGTGACCACTTCCTTTAAAAACGTAATCTCAGTCAAAAACCATTAAAGGCAAAGTTCGGGCTCAGACCCACTTAATAAGCCCTTATAGTGGCTAGAAGTGCGTGGGACGCAACTGCAGAAGGCGCGCCACGTTCCTGCATCGAAACGCGTCACTAAGACGCTAGACGTTAAGGATTTTGACACGCTCCACCTGCTGCGACACGCTCCGCCCACCGCTCGATATCTTGTCCGCGTCGCTGACTTGATCTGCTATGCTCTCTCTACTCGTACTTCTCTAGCGCTCTCCGCGCTCACATTATCTCTCACCTCCCTGCCGGCCTTTTGAACTTCTCCGCAACCTCGAGCAAAAGGCTCGTATTTCCTGTGTATTTCACGAATTTTTTCCTTTTTTCTCCACTGGCGGTCCACTTTCCACCCCTACTTCACATTTGAGTAGAAAGCAGAATTTTCCCCATCAATTCAATCCTGAATCTTGCCTTTAAACAGGTTAAAATCCCTCCCGAAGTCTTCGCCTTAAGCTGCGATTCCGACAGTAACTGCACTAAATCTCGGCGACGGCAATGCTTCACACAGATGTTTGGACCTCTGACCGTGGAATTTGAAGTAGTCCTAAGAAGAGCTCTTGTTGTGGAATTACCCAGGAAATTGCAGTTGCCCCAAAGTCTATCCACAATGTTTTTTGCGAGGCTGCAACCGAAGACTGACACTCCACATACAGTAACTACTCCTTAAAGGCAAGATTCAGGATTGAATTATAAGTTAATTCCACTTAAATGTGAAAGTAGGGGTAGGTAGTGGACCGCCAGTGCAGAAAAGAGAAAAAGAAATCGTGAAATGCTTAGGAAATACGAGCCATTTCCTCTACGGTGCGGAGAAGTTCAAAAGGCCGGCAGGGAGATGAGAGATAATGTGAGCGCGGAGAGCGCTAGAGAAGTCTAAGTAGAGAGAGCATAGCAGATCAACATTCCGACGCAGTCAAGATATCGAGCGGTGGGCGGAGCGTGTCGCAGCAGGTGGAGCGTGTCAAAGTTCTTAGAGCCTAGCGTCTAAATAACGGTTTTCGAAGTAGGGAAGTGACGCGACCCCTACACTTGCGTGCCTAGCGCTTCTAGCCACCGTAAAGGCTCATTAAGTGGGTCTGAGCCCGAACTTTGCCTTTAAGAGTCATCACTACCGCTGAGTAAGACGTCCATGGATCCTTCCGAATAGTCTATGCTCCTGGACGGGTAATCGCCACGCGGCAAGTGAGGACAAGTGATATAACTGTACCCTCCCTTTCAGAAAACGAGGAGAGCGTCGGGTGGCAGCCATACACCACAGTAACGACGGCCTCAGTAAATCTGGTTAGTAGTGGCTCATAGTGGTAGCTATTTTCTGGTGAATGATAGTTGTAATCAGTGACAAGATAGAATAAAACTATATAGGTTGGGGTTGGAAGTCTTTGGGTTTTGAGTATTTTTTTTTTTTTTTTTTTTTTTTTTTTTTTTTTTTTTTTTTTTTTTTTTTTTTTTTTTTTTTTTTTTTTTTTTTTTTTTTTTTTTTTTTTTTTTTTTTTTTTTTTTTTTTTTTTTTTTTTTTTTTTTTTTTTTTTTTTTTTTTTTTTTTTTTTTTTTTTTTTTTTTTTTTTTTTTTTTTTTTTTTTTTTTTTTTTTTTTTTTTTTTTTTTTTTTTTTTTTTTTTTTTTTTTTTTTTTGGCTTTTAAAGAAAACAAAACACATGAGGATGCAAGGTAATCACCATTACACTCTATCACTCTTTGCCACTTTTCGGGCAGACTTCGGCTGCCTTTATCAAGGAACTGCCCTGAGTTTCGACTGAAAAATTACTCAACCCGCGATCTATGTCATCTTCATCTTCGGACGTTTTCCCTTGTATGGCATTCGATAGCGAAAGGGAAAGGTGGTATTCTGTTGGATCAGTATCCTGGCTGTACAGTGGGTTGCTTCCCCTTTTCCACCCAGAGTCGAGTCGCTTCTGTCGGGTCACTGTTTTAGTGCGTGGACAAACGTTGTCGTGCAAGAATAATATCATGCCGCAATTTCCATGCTTCTTTGCGATCTCGGTGGCCATTCTATCCAGCTCCTAATAGCACAAGTCCACCGCGAGAGTAGCGCAGCGCGGCAGTAGCTCGTAATGGATAATGCCTTAGCAGTCTCACCAAAAACAGATCATAACCTTCAGAGGGTGAACACCTGCCTTCTGTTGCGGCTCAGGCTGGTCACCTTGTCAACCCAGCGTCGGCGGGCCTTGATGTTGACCTACAGACAGCACTTCTCATCCTGTGTGACGACGGACTTCAGCCAACCATCCGTGCGCTTGTACGCCTATCCAATTCATTTAGCTATCCGGTACCTTGCGGACCAATCGTGTTCGGTAAAGGGCTTGGGGGTAAATGCAACTGTCCCCAGGTTGTCACCTTTCCAACCTGAATGCAAGGTGACCGCAGTGATGCTGAAGGGTACACTAGAACACTAACTACCCGGCAGTTTTGCTTGGGCCTGCCCACATCGCAGCTTACGCAAACGATGCCCCTTGTCGGCTTCGAGTCTAGTCCGACAAGGCATTTTCAGTCTGTGAGCCACTCCTCAGCGGAGCTTGTCAGAACCAACCTCTTGCGGTCATTCGGATACCCTACGTTTCTTCACACGCAGCAACAATGCGACGTCTGGATTAGGCTGCTGATTCGCCAAATATCAACCCGTATAAGTAAAAGGTCATGAAAGTACTGTTGTGAAAGTTGCATATTGCAGAAACGTGATGAAGCTACAGGTATTAGCTAATACTTATACTGAACTGCACATACACTCTGTTTCATGCAGCCAGAAATCCACGTGGCACACGTGGCTAAATTCTCGATGAAAAGGTGACGTCACGTGTGCTCAAAGATGTTCTTGAATCGATGCCACGTCAATTTCTGCAATTGCACAATTTCTGGTCATTTGAAGGCGAGGGTATATGTTTCTCCTTATAAAATGCACTAGCCAATTTGCAGGCAGGCGTTTTAGCAGGTTAAAAAAAAGATTTTGAAAACCGCAAGGACTTTCCCTACAACTGCTACTGCAACAGGGCTAGTCATTTCAGTGGCAGAAGGCATTTACATTCTGTGGAGGAGGTCGTCGTCACTTGTGGTGTGTGGTCTGCACCCGACCTCTTCTCGTTTTTTGAAAATAGGTGTATGTGTGTGATACTATGTGTGCCAACAAATCCCGCGAAAACTCGTCCATTTTCTTTCCATTTTCTGTACAGTCTTTAAAACCGGTTATGAAAGGCAAACTTGATTCACAAGCTTCAACATGTTGTTTTGATCCATTGTCCAAGCGATTCACATCTCCACTCTCATTTTTGAGCTCACTGACCCACACCAAGGGAGTTTTGGGGATGTGCTTTGAGAAACTGTGATCATCATTTTTACTCAATCAACAGCGGGTTCAAAATACGAAACATGTGGCCTTTCTGGTACGTTTTCAATTGCACCCCGAAATCCCTATAAAGCGCCAATGTAAGTCTATAATTTATTCAGTTGAGACATGCGAATGAATGACTAGCGAAGAGATTAGCGATGATTAGAATGCGAAAATCTGAAGAGTTCGAACGTCGAACGATATATTCAATCAGCTCTACCAATATGCAAATCAACTTGAGAATAGAATGAAGAAAATCAAAAAGGAAAGCACACATCTGGCTACAAATAAAGTGTCGGCTGTCTTGGGCAAAATGACTTCTGTACAGAACCAAACTACCAGAAACATAGTAAACAGATAGGGGAGACAGAGGGATGAGGGGGAAACCGGAGACGGCAATGGGACGACGAGGCGATGCTGTGAACCCGCGAACAGCTCACACACTCGGAACGAAGACGACGACAACGAGGCGACGTCAAGGCACTGACGACGACATCGCGCGCGCGCACGCGACTACCTGTTCACGATCGATAACGGTGAATCGCTTGATAAATCAATATTAAATCTGTAGTTGCGACGAAATGTGTCCGGATGCAACGAGGAGAATGAATCCATGCCAATAACTACCTGAAATACTCCCATCATATAGGTGTCCGAGGAGCAAGAACTGCCAGAGACCTACCCTACGAGCATGTGCCGTGTCTGTGGCCTCTGAGGACGACAATGAGCGATGATACCATGGAGCAGAAATGGGCACGTTGATCACCCGTTGCTGTAATGAATTGGTATTCGGGTCAGAACCAAAGGACTTCATTTGACGGCACTCAGTTAGTGAGCACTCTGATAAAAAGAACACCTGATCACTGCATGCCTACTTTACCTGTTTACACTAATCGACGAGGTGTTGCACGCTAAAATACTCATTATCAAACAGAAAACTCAAAATTCACAATAAAAACCTCAGTATTAAACCAGTATTTGGAAAGGAAAACATTACACGTTGATCATCCCATCTTGGGATGCGCCATGCACTTGACTCTTTCCTAACTCATAGCGGCGATGGAATAGGTATGTGGCCTAAGCGTTAACGATAGCATGAAGCGCATGCTCGCCCGATTTTCACGCGGTTCATCCCCGTTTTTTTCGATTCACTGGGCATTTCCCATATTCCAAAACTGTTTGTATACGTTACTTTATCCGAAAAGCAATCACCGTTTATAAGAAATATTAGGTTGTCCCATAATTAGTGAATCACTTTACATTTATTGTTATTAAAAATCCAAGAAAAATGGTGAAGGCGTGAAACATGTTTTGCGAAGTAGCATCCACATTATCCTACCTGAGCAATTACTCAGCCCATTTACATGCTGCCTTCCGTGGCTGATATTTCAATTTTTCTGGAACCTATTTTTGAGCTCCCTTCTTAATCACTTCTGATTAGGATCTTTCAAACGCCCAACAACATAGAGAATCAACCAGCAGATAGGCGAGGGCACGCTCCCTCAATCCACGGTCTGCTTGTAGTTCACTCTATCGAGAGGTTGGCTTTTTTAGTTGAAGATGACCCACACTCCAACTACCCCTCAACTGGCAATCTCAGTGCTGTACCCAGCGCCACTAAGCGTGAATCTGGACG